CTCACCCTCCCTTACCCCATCTGCCCCGCTCCCTCGCGGCCGGGGTAAGGGGGCCGATGCTGGAGCTGCAGCTGTGGGGTGGTGGTGGTGGTCTCGGGCTGGGAGCGGTGCTGCGGCCAGGGGCCGAGGCTGGAGGTGGGGGCGGGAGCTGGGCTGCGGTTGGGGCTGGCAGCTGGGCCGGTGGCCAAGTGCAGCTCTGCTCCTGGCTTTGCCCCCCAGCCTCAGCCCCGGCCCGGGAACAAAGCCGCGGCCAGCGTGAGAGACTGGGGGGTTGGTGCGGGGCCGGGAGCTGAGCTGAGCCACGCCAAAGCTGAGGACAGTGCCAGGCGCAGGGCCGGGAGTCAGTTATGTGGCTGGGAGCGGGACTGGAGTGGGGAGAGGCTGGATGGCGCTCCCTCCCAGCCACTGTGGTGGCTGGCATGGCCCTGCCCTGCCCTGGCCATGCAATACCTCCCTGTTTGTTCTTCCATGGCCCTCTGAGGTAGGAGGGGGCGCCCCACACTTTGGGGATCGCTGGCATAGATGAACATGAGCCAAGGACAGAAGCACCAGGATAAATAGCTACCAGATATCATTTTAGGATGGTACAATCTATTGCCTATTATATGGATCAACCAATCGCCTTGGTATGGACTTACCACCTCTCCCCTGCTTTCTAAGGACTGCCTCTTTGACTGTCATTAGTTTCTAAACACTCTGAGGGCTTCTGCCATTGTCTTCTAGTGATGTCAAGGGATCATGAAGGATGGTAGCTTTTAAAAGGTGGGTGCCTTAAAATGTTGTCCAAATCTTGAATTTGGACACACAAATCAGTGCATAAGGGCACAGTGTGTACGTTTATGGGAAAGTGTCAATATGAGCATCCAAAATGAAAAATGTGGATGTCTTATTAAGATGCCACAGTGGAAAATTGGACTTGTCTTTTTATTTTCCTTATGGCACTAATACAGGAAAAGTGATGGGGCCAAACTTTGCTCTCTTGCTGTAACTTCATTGATTTAACTCCATTGTTTGTCACCCTCCATGACACTTGCCTTCTCTTTCTGATAGACAATTGCCACCTCTCTAATCTGGAAGTCTTTAACTCTCTGATGAATATTCCAGTGTAAATGAAAGCAGAATCAGGAACATCTCTGTAAGGAACCCGGAAGGGACCTTTCCTTTTGTTCCTTTATTGTGTTCTTTTTCATCCATAGCATCTTCTGTAAAATCCATTCTCCAGATAGCTTCTGGTACTAGTACAGGCTTCCCTATGTTGCAGTCTCAGTGCTAAACAATTGCCAGAAAGCATGTGAAGTGCCTGAAAGTGAGAGTGGTGACAGTCACTTAGACAATCTGTGCTCAGAGAGATAATCTTTTCAAAAAAGGGCCATCTTTAGCAGGGTATCTGGCAGCACATTCTTTATTACAAGAGTGGTGCCTTCTGTCACTTGGATAATAACCTTTGAAAGAACAGCCTCTAGCCCACAGTCTAGGGTATATTATATCTTCTAAGCAATATCCGTTGAGCTAGTGAGGGTATGTTTATGTTTCTCTTGTAAAAAAGAAAAAAAAGGAAAAAGAAAAAAAGGGAATCTGAGGTTACTGTTTTGCTGGAAAAATGTCAAGACTCTATTGGCAATATCCCACTAAACCACAAGTTTATAGGAGAGAAAACAAAACCATTGGCTTTTTCTAAACTATGTCTATGTGCATTTTAGGAAAATAGACACAATGTATGCCACTTATGCTCTTATTATAGCTGTGGCAATCCAACGTATGATTGAACACACCGAAATACTACAACCTCATGCTGTTCAATGAATGAAGGGAAAACAAATCTTTATTATTCCTGGGTTCATATAGTACACAGGAACAGTATTGTTCTTTCTTTCTTTCTTTCTTTCTTTCTTTCTTTCTTTCTTTCTTTCTTTCTTTCAGATGTGTTTCATTGTCTGTGGGAACATGTGTTTTACAGACCTGTCATGTGAAAGCTATTAAAAAGAGGAACTGGAGAAATAACAATAAGCCATGTAACTGTGGTATGTCTACTCCCCAAGTTCAACGGTTATGCTGCTGTTTCAAGTGGTGGTGAAACTGGATCGCACCAAACAGCGTTAGCTTTTCTGGTGCAATTTTTCATCGGGCTACTCTGGATCTTTAAAGAAGGCTATTAATATCATATTGCCGGCTTAAGAGATACCTTTCAGAGCCAAACTGGCTAGGTTTCAAAACTCTTAGACAGTGGAATGAAGATGAGCTGGATCCACATGAGATGTCCAATTTTATTTGCAAAGCCTGAGATGAGCTGACAAGAGGAATAGTTCTGAGACATTTATTCACTATTTCATTAGTGTGTTGGAAAACAGACAGCCCATTGCAGGCAGCCTGGATCTCTGTGTGCTTAATATTACCAGCTCCTTATATTCTTATAGAAAATCACATACACAATAACCCAGAACACTGTGCCAAATTATGGTCTCGGCTGTATTTGAGAAACTGAGAACAGAATTCAGCTGCGTGTGTGTGCGCGCGCGCGTGTGTGTGTGTGAATGAGAGACCTTTTTCAGAGTACATTTATACGTTTCACATTGTGAATCGTTTATTTAAGGCAATCAGCAAAAAGTAAGAACTATGGATTAGAAAAATCTGTTAAAACGGAATGAAAGAACTCCAAAACGGATTACAAAATGTAAGCACTTTAACTTGTTCATACACAAATTGAAACCATTTTTAAAATGAGCCTTTGATTTTACCTTTCTGGACAAAATCCTTCACTAATTACAGAGTAGCTGTTTATGACAGCAGTAAAACTTTTTGCTCGAGGCAAATCAAGAGAAAACCAGGAAGCAACATTTCTTAATTTAAGAGGAAAAAATCTGATAATTTTAAAGTTGGAGGAGTGTAAACCAGAACTCAGACATTTAACCCAGTTAGTGGTCAATAAATATTCCATGACACTTTTTGCAACAGTAGGGTGAGCAGTCCTGGTGTTTTAGCCAAATGCGAACTTGGATAATTACATTTTGCTTACCTAAATGCTATCCCCTGTAGTTTCAGTCAAACATTGTTTTTTGTTGCTGTTTGCGTCATGTCCGAAACTGTTAAGTAGTGTTGCTGCATTGTTCAATGGTTTTTTGTTTCACCTCAATGGGGCTATTATTTCAGAGATGGAAGAAGATTTTCCTATATGTGTAGTTGTAAATCACTTTGAAAAGGTTACAAAGAGCTTTTGGATCAATTGTACTGATCCTGCTGTTATTGAAGTCAACAGCAAAACACTTGGTGAAACTGAGGCACATAGATGTGTTAAGTGGCCTGCCCATACTCATCCAAGATCAGCAACAGAACTATGAAAGATTTCCAATCCTCTACTCTAACTTCTAGACCAGGAATTGGCAATGTTTGGCATGCGACCCACCAGGGTAAGCCCCCTGGAGGGCTGGGCCAGTTTGTTTACTTGCCGCGTCCGCAGGTTCAGCCGATCGCGGCTCCCACTGGCCAATGGGCGCTGCGGGAAGCTGTGGCCAGCACATCCCACGGCCCACGCCGCTTCCCGCAGCCCCCATTGGCCTGGAGTGGCGAACCGCGGCCAATGGGAGCCGCGATTGGCCGAACCTGCGGACGCGGCAAGTAAACAAACCGGCCTGCCCTGCCAGGGGGCTTACCCTGGTGGGCCGCGTGCCAAACATTGCCGATCCCTGTTCTAGACAATGCTACATTCCTCTGAAATAATATTATTATTGTTATTATTAATAATAATTCTAAGTTTTATTAGCTTGTATTAGAACCAGTTTCTATTGGTCTGTGACCATATAGTGTACATCTGGTTTGAAGTTCCAGCTACAGTGTGGCAATTAAGGTCTTTAAAACAGTGTTTTAAAAAGGTATTTCTCATGGTTGCAGCCAGTAGGATCTGATGTGGTTTCACCAGCTATTGTGGATGGTTGGATAGATGCTGTGTTTGACTAGCATTCAAAAAGTGTTCAAAGAAAGATTGCGCTAATGATGTTAGCCCGGCCTGGCCCGGCCCTCCTGGGGGCTTACCCTGGCAGGTCGCGTGCCAAACATTGCCAATCCTTTGTCCACATTGGCCAGGCAAACTGTGTTGGAACCCCTTTAAGACACAGAGATATATTAACCATGGAAATGCAGTTTCGTTTTGTTTTTAAAAACTGTATTGAACCCAGTGTAGATGGGGCTTGGCTGGTCAATATGGCAGGAAAAGCATGACCTGATATTTGCTAATTAGAGTTTGTTTATTCAGTAACTCCTTCTATAGCCCTGCCCAACTCAGCTTCCATCATGTCATGTCAGAGAGACATTTTGGTGCTCTGGTCACAGCGCCAGGCGCTCTGTGGGGAATAGTGTCATATTCTTTTCCATGACTTCTTGCAGTGATGCTGCTGGCATTCATTCCTGTACGTTAATATTTGTAGTGCGCAAGGCTTCACTGGGACCATGCAGCATGTACATCTGATAACCATAGCAGAATAGGTACTTTTTCCCTAGGAGAAACTTAATAAAACAGTTCCCAACACTGTGCACTTTGGAAACGGATTAGGAAAAAAAGAAAAGTATCATGAGAGTTGTGGTGCATTGTGTTTTATGGCGTTCTTGAGGAGGGCTTTGTTGCTTTTTGTTTGTATTTGTCCACATTACTGATTTTTTTCTTTTGTGTTGTTCTCTGTTGTTTGTCTTTTCTCTCCCCCAGCTGGTCTGCCCTTTCTGATCATTGAAACCAGCACAATCCAGCCATACCAAAGGGGGTTTTACTGCAACGACGAGAGTATCAAGTACCCTTTGAAAACGGGCGAGACGATTAACGACGCTGTGCTGTGTGCTGCAGGGATTCTCATTGCCATCCTTGCTGTAAGTAGAATCGGTCACACTCTTCTGCCCCTCTCTGACAGGACTGTATGTTTGTGTCGTCTCCTAAGCAGGTAATGCTGACAGGGCCCTATTGACGCTCCCACACAGCGTGCCAATCAACACAAAGAGACTGTTATAAATTAATTACTGAGCAGAGATTTTCTAAGGATTGGGAGTTAGGACTGTGCTTTGAACAAGTTAAAAAAAATCTACTGCAACAGCAACAAGGACAAGATGGTGTTGGTAATAGGATATGAAGCCTTTCACCTCTGGGTCAGTTGTTCAAAATCAGTCCAGGTTAGTGACTGAAACTCATTAGCATCCAAAGACAGTCTGGTGTCCCTGGTGAATTAACCCATTAATAATTTGGTGAGTAGCTGGGGGTTGATTTGCTTCGTTTGTGGCAGAAGATCTCCCCATTTCAAATACCACTATACTAATGAGCACAGACCTGTATGCAGACAGAAGCAGAGAAACTAAAAGGCCTAAGTTCTGCTCCAGCACTTATTGAAACCATGTTGACTCTTAGGGTACGTCTTCAGTACCTGCTGGATCGGCGGGTAGTAATCGATCTATCGGGGATCAATTTATCATGTCTCGTCTAGACGCGATAAATCGATCCCCAAACGTGCTCCCCGTCAACTCTGGAACTCCACCAGAGCGAGAGGTGGAAGCGGAGTTGACAGGGGAGCCGCGGCCATTGATCCCGCGCCGTGAGGACCCGAGGTAAATCGATCTAAGATACGTTGACTTCAGCTATGCTATTCTTGTAGCTGAAGTTGCGTATCTTAGATCGATCCCCTCCTCCCCCCCCCCAGTCGTAGACCAGCCCTTTAATGGAAATGGATGGGGACTGATGAGATTGGCCTACTGTCCCAATGCAAGAAGCCCTTTCCATATCAGATTATCAGCATAGGGAAGCATCATCCTATGGATGTGCCTTTACTGTGTATAGGAGGCATAAATTTCCAGTGCTGTTAATCATCTTCCACAAAACACACAACAATCTGCAGCCATATGCTAATGAAAACTTACAGCAGGAAGAGTAAGATTACTTCTGAAGCAAGTAAACAAGTCAAACCGTTTGGGCAAGTCTTGCAAACTTTACAATATAAGCTAGAGTTCACGTTTCAGGAAGCATGCTCCTTACAAGCTCAAGGATTTAGTGCCAATAAGGATTTGGCATGTTGTGTCCACATTTGAGTGATTGCTGTGGTATTTACATATTCCACATTTCATGCAGTTTTTAAAAAGAGGTTGTGCGTTTGCAGCCAACTGCTGCATGGAAAAGTTTTGGAGGCAGTATTAAGCTTTAATAAATAATAAGCTAGACATCTATTAAAGGGCAGTTCTGCTGCTGTGATCTTACTTGTGTCGCCTTTCTGATTACTTTTGATTTTTTTTTCCCCTATCCAATTTCCCACTACTGTGTGGAGGGATTATGTTGTGTGTGAACATATTTGCTTTAAGTTTCAGCAAATGGGCCAAATCCAGCCCTGGAAGAGTCAGCGGAGTTGAGGCTTCTTACACTAGTACATTTGTCAGCTATTTACTAAAAACACTTTGGGCTAAACATGTAACAGGAAGCCTCATTACACTCAAGTCACAATGCTCTACAAAAATTTGACCGGTGTCTGTAATGTCATCATGAAAAGCTGAAATGAAGTGCAGTTTGTTATTTAAAAACAAAATAACACCTTTAGAGGTGGCAGATCTTTGCCTCTGTTCCAGTCCCTTGGCTCCACTCCTGCAGTGCAAAAGAATATCTGGGGATTCCTTTGATGTGGGGCATTCATTGGTGACACTTACTCAGCTCTGCACCACCTGCTCCACCCCATCCCATCCTGATGGCGAGGGACGTGGACAGAATTTGCACTCTGACATTCCCCAGCCTCAGAATGGCTGCAGGCAGGTGTTAGTGGCCAGGATAAGTTAAAGCAGCCTGCAGTCTGCTCTAACGTATGATGGGTGCCAGACCCAAGTTCCCCCCGACTGGGAGAGTGCAAAGGTGGTTTTGAACCACCTTCCTCCCTGTCCCCACAGGTCTAGCACCGAGCATAGCTCGTTCACATGCAAGGTTCTGGCTCTTAATTTTTGTTTAAACATTTGATCAAGATACCATTTCCATTCCCCCCAACCCCAGCATTTCTGTATGAGAAGTACTGAAGTTTCCCTTTATCCCGCTTCGAGCATAATGTAGTTTTTTCCTTAAGGATCACTTTCATAACAGTCCTTTACTTAGTTCTGTCAGCTAAAGCAACTGTATTGTGAGTAGGTAGGTTAAGGCAGGGATTCTCAACCTTTTTCTTTCTAAGCCACTCCTCCCTCCCCCCATGTTATAAAAACTCCACAGCCCACCAGTGCCACAACAACTGGTTTTCTGCATATAAAAGCCAGGGCAGGTGTTGTAGCAAACAGGGCAATTGCCTGGGTCCCCACACCACAGGGGCTCCCGCATAGGTACATTGCTCAGCCTTTAGCTTCAGCCCCAGGTGGTTGGGCTCAGGGCCCTGGGCTTCAGCCTCATGCAGTTGGGCTTTGGCTTTCTATCCTGGGTCCCAGCAAGTCTAATGCCGGCCCTGCTTGGCGGCCCCCCAGGAGGCCTCGGACCCCTGGTTGAGAACCACTGGGTTAAGGGACAGAAATGACTTTAAGCTCCTATTTCCCCCAGTTTTCATTCTTTGTCCTACAAGCACTGTAATGTCCAATATCTTTAGCACGCCTAAGCTTTATACTGTTCGTTCTTACTGACACTGGTGGTTCAAATAGTAAATTGTGCACATGAGTTTTCCTTTCCTTTTACTCCATCAGAAGCTACAGCTGTAAATTAATCAGAATCATGATATTGTCTGTTTGATTAGACGGTTCATGCACTCTGGGTAGAATTCACTTCACCTGAATAAAGCCAGAGCTGTTGGTCATTGCATGGATGAAGTGCATGTGGCGTGGGTGGGTGGGTGGGTGGGTTTGTTGGGCGCAGGAGGTTGTTGGGGGCTGTGGGGAAGAACTGGCAGGGAGAGAGTTGTTTATGTGAAACCCACTTCCCAATGGGAGCAACACGAGGCACTGATGCACGGGCCCTCAGTAGCTGCTATGCAAGCCTGTGGGATACAGTAGCAGTCACAGCCTCTTTATGCCCCTTTCAGATGAAGATGGATCCTGTGAACCCTCCCTCTGATTTGGCCCAGTCACTGCCTTACCCACTAGCCTTTGCAGGGCCATAGGGAGAGAGCTTAGCTTGCCTAGTGTACCAGCTCAAGGCTTAAGCTGTACAGAGGGGTCCTGTGCTGAACCTGCGCACTGGGATGAATTTTGTCCTATTAATTTTTCCCTCAGGGAAATATTTCAAACCTATTTCAGTATTACCGTCTGAGCCTTTCAGCAGTGATTAAAACTACATTATAGTCTGTGCAAAGATAGGAAGCAATCCCCAGTGGAACTCTCTCTCCCGTCAATGGGAGTCACGTATGTATAGGTTGAGGGTAGTATCTGACTCATTGTGTTGTGTCTACCAAACAGATGGCTGATTTCTTTTCAAAGTCATCCTTTGGCTTGGTTTTTTCCATTTCCAAGATAATTATCTGTTAGTTTCCCCCCTCCCCCAAGCAGAATTGAAATGAAGCCAGGTTTCAGCTTTCATTGATCGCAGCATCGTTTGCCAGCCAGTTTATTCATAGAGCCATGGGCAAACAGTCCCAATAATTCTCTGTCTCTCATTCCAAAAGTGAAAGTGGAAAAAAAAATCTATAAACAAGGAGAAATTTTTACCCTGCAGGTAAAATTCCATACCCCCAAGTATGGAAAAGCCATAAAATAAAATGAAAAAAACATCTCATTTTCACATTACTGCCTGACATACCGTCATGTCGGCTCCATGCAGAATCTGCTTCTGATCAGTAGTGAGCCAGTGGCAAATACAAGAGTTGGAAGTGCAATTGGAAACATAATCAACTGAGTATTTAATCCATCAAGTTTCTAACATGAAATGGCAGGTCAATTAAAAAGAAAAAAAGTTTCCCTGAAAGAAATGGATGTTTTTTATGTAGGTTTCACTTCACTCACAACAAAAGTAAATTGGTAAGGAAAATACAAAAGCTCAGTTATTTGTTGCTGAGTGATACAAATGGCTAACAAGTGATTTAAGAAACAGATTTCATGCTATGGCAGAATATATGGAAAATTCAAGTCATGCTAACCTCTTTTTCAGATGTAACCCAGATACCAGAATTTTTGTAACATAATACGAAGTCCTTCCAAATCCACAAAGCACCAATATCTCTCCTTTCATTTGAAATGTTTGCTTTTCAAAGACATGACTGCAGGTAGGGGCAATTTAGGACAATAAATAAAACAAAAAAAATTTAACGTTTCCAACTCCCAGCTTTAAATACTCGCACCGGCAGAATCTTTAGGCCAGAGCGAAAGGTCCGGGTTGTGTTTTATGTGTCTTGAATAATGCCAGAGCTCTTGCTAAGTAAACTTTAGAGGTGAAGACTTCTGCTTCTCTCAGGACATAGTAGGATATGCATTTATTATTTACTGACTTGGAGACAAAGACTGCCCTTGGCATTACACATGCATGAGACCCTTGAGATAGTAATTGCCCCTAAGATTTTTGCTCTCAGACCTCTACTAAATGCTCATAGACTTTAAGGTCAGAGGAGACCATCATGATCATCTAGTCCAGGGGTTCTCAAACTGTATTGGGGTCGCAACCCCATTTTAGTGGAGTCACCAAGGCTGGTGTTGGCCCTGGGTCTCGCAAGTCTGAAGCCCAAGCCCCACCGCCCAGGACTGAAGCCCAAGCCCTACCACCCAGGGCTACGGTTACATGCTCCCACCCAGGGCAGAAGCCCTTGGCCTTCAGCTTTGCCCCACTTCACTTCCCCCCTCCCCCCAGGATGGCGGGCGTTGGGCAGGCTCGGTCTTCGGTTCCCCCCTCCTGGGGTTGTGTAGTAATGTTTGTTGTCAGAAGGGGGTCACGGTGCAATGAAGTTTGAGAACCGCTGATCTAGTCTGACCTCCTGCACATGGCAGGCCACTGAACCTCATCCACCCACTCCTGTAATAGACACCCTAATCTCTGTGCTTTTACTTGTGGAAAATATTTGACCCTCATGGAGACTGAAGGCCTCTTTTTATCCATAGACGAGGCTTGGCATGAGCTGTGATAATACAAGATTCTCCACACTGACCAGCCAGTAAGCATTAAAAGCTAGTTGGGGAGGGACTCCCTGTATCAGGGAGAGAATGATTCATGTCCATTCAGTTCTTGGCCTTGCTGTTCTGAATGCTAACAAGGGAGGGGCAATTGCTCACTAGGACTGAAATTCAATCTGTGCGGAGGACAGCACAAGGCTTACGCATCATTGATGTCCTCAAAGAGGGCCGTCTGTGGTGCACAAGCTTTGTGGTGGTTTTCTGCACAGCGATGAATTGCACCCTCTGATCTTGAGTGAGGCCACAAACCTATTTCACATAGGCCACTGAACAGGTGGTAACAACTGGCAATCACTTCCAGCTAGGCTTGGATTTGAAGCCATGCCCTAGAGGTAAAAGGTTCTTTATTCCATTTTCTGAGCCCCCTTATGGCTAATACTGTTGTTTGTACCCAACTCCATGTACTGTCAGATCTTGACAGCTTGAGGAAAAAACCAACAAGCTTTCTAGATCAGCTAATTTATAAGAATACAAATGTGGATAGTCAGATACTTTATATTGCAATGTTAAGTGCTCCCATTTGGCAAGACACAGAAAAACAATACCTTGGAGACAAAACTGTTTAGAAAGACCCTGAAAGTGTAATTACTGGGGCAACTGGATAATTGATGATAATTGCATATAAAACTTACACTGGATCAGAAAGATTGTAGAAGATACTAGAGAGAAAAGTTTGATATTTGTTTCTTACTAGTGACTATGTTAAATATTTCCAGCAATTCACACTGGGAAATTCTCTATATACCACATGCAAATTATTTGCTGGAGACACAAGTCAGAAAAGGAGATTAATACCTTTGACTTGTTTGTTCAGGATGAAATTTCAGTTTGTGCACATCTGTGCTGAATTAGTTTTCTAAGTCCCTCTTTATCAGGGAGAGCGCTGCCAAAAAACAACTTCGCCCTATTTTAGCTTTTCATTAACGTTCAGCCATGATTTTAACTAAAATAGGGAGGGGTCATGACTACCCAGCAGTGTGTTAGCGGGAGACTGAAGTCTCCAATTTACAATCTGCTACATCTGTGCAATTACCAAGACCACCAGCAGTGAGAAAAAATATTAATCCCTAGACTTTGTTGGTCCCTGTTTAAAATGGTCACATGTCTAAGCTTTAAGGGGATCCATTTGTGAACTCTGAGAATAATGGTACATCCTGTGGTGTCAAGTATCCTCCTTAATTCAATTTATTTTCCCTCTGCAGTTCTAAGCCTTATAAGATGCAGGCACCTCTTCCCTGCATGACTATATGCACCCAGCTATCAAAGAAAGTTGCAGTATGCAGTTGGGGTGAGGTATTCCTCTGCGGTGCAGTTGTAGACTGGACACCTTCACTTTGAGAGTGGCAAAATCCACAGGCCATTTCTTTGAGTATGTTGACACTATGAATGGCACAGCTGCAGCTATGCCACTGTAGAGCCGTAGTATAGACACTTCCTAAATTGATGGAAGAGCTTTTTCTCTCAGTGTAGGTAACCCAGCTCCCTAAGCGGCGGTAGCTACCCAGTGGTTAGGTTGGCTTAACTACAGCTAGGTCAATCTAAATTTTACGTGTAGACCAGGGCTTTGTGTGTAGTGGAAATAGATTCCTGAGTGCCCACAAAACCCACAGGAGATTCCTAAACCACTCATTTGCAGATAAATGAGCAAACACTGAGAAAATTGAAACGACAGCGGCAGGGAGAAGAACTGCCTCCAAACGACAATTAGAAAGCATGAATGTCCTTTCCATGACACAAATGAACTGTGTTCTGCCACAGGAGAAATGTTCAGGCATTCTTTTTTGGTCCTCATGCAAATATACTTCCTGGCTCGCAGCCTGCATTTGAAGATAGTCCAAAATCTAGATGAACCATCATCTGCAGAACATTTGGATTCTCAAGGGATTACAAATGACTCTGGAACAGGTCAGCTGCAAGACCAGACAACCTCAGTCAAGCCCATAGGGAGCTCGATACTAATATTCTTTTGTAAAATGTGACTGTGGTTTGTAAACCCTTCATGGCAGGTCAATGGCCCCTGATGTCTTTCTCCAAGAAGTATGGAAGTATAAGTGCCTGCTTGCAGCATTTGGGTTTTTTTTTACTTCCCTTTGATAAAGCCTGCATAGATATTATTTCAGTTACTTTAGGTCAACCTTTGTTTTTCAAGCCCTGGTACTCAGAGTTCAAACCATGATACAGTTTCATCTCCTCTTAGTCTAATTGCAATACTTTTCCAGTTTATTAGTTTCCAAAAGTTGTGCCAAGTTTTTAAAAAGGTAGGTAGGGGAGAATTCTCTTCTGCATGGAGCTGGCTGGCTGCCATGCTGTGAAGAATATTGCTAGCTGTTTCAGAAAGGGATTAGCATGAAGGCATTTTTCCTGACAGTTAAATTTACATATCACAATGCTGCTGACTGGAACAGAAAGGGGAGTGAGGGAGAAAAAAAACACCTCATTTTATTACTCAGGTATAAAAACATTGAAAGTAATGAATAAAATCCTAAAGCTGTAAATCTGGAGCTCAAAAACTAGGTGTGTAACGTGACAGAACAATTTAAGCTTTTGCCTCTTTTGGAGAGGTGAGACATTTAGACTTCATTTCATGGCCTGATTTTCATTAAATTGCCTTTTAAGAGTTAGGATTACAAGAAGCCAGGTCCTCAGGTTCATAACTATGATTTATGACAACATTGTGAAATCCACAACACTCCCCCCCTTCATGGCACAAGAAATACATAATTTGCTGCTTAATAACTACAAGGATCATTGGAATTCCCAGGAAAGTCCTGTGTTTATAGAAGCTTTGTATGATTTAAATTGGGTCTGGCCATTGCAAATTTTGGGCCAGATTCTAAATACTTTGAGGATCTAAGAATCTGATTCTTTGTGTTCATTTTTTTAAAGCTATGAAAAATAATAAAAAAACAACAGCCCACCTCTGAAATGCTAGATTTTTTTTTCTATATGGAATTTAATATAGTAACCTTGCTCCTCAAGGAACCTTGATTCTTTTGTCTCTCTGATTAGCTTTTGGTTGAATTCTGATCTCAGTTACACTGGTATAAATCTGGGGGAGCTGGAGCATTTGAAGTCAATGCAGTTATTACGGCTTTACACCAACATATGCAAGAGTAGATTTTGATCCAATGACTAGCTTGGTCTTAGAATTTTTCCTTACGTTGAAAAAAAAAATGTTGGTCTCGATTTCTGGAAAGTATAAAGAAAAATGGGACATTTAGGATGTGTCGGAGAAGAGAATTCCAAATGGTGAGATCCTGCAGGTGGCGGAACGCTCTCCCACTTGACATGGTGGAAGCCCCATTACTTGAGCTATTCAGAACAAGAAAAAGCAAAGCATTGTAAATTATACAAAATATAATTAGGGAACAATTTGCACTAGGATGGAGAAGAACAGAACACCTAGCAGGTATTTTTTGTCTCTGATATCTATGATTGCATGAACATCATCCGGTTACAAAGGTTTTTCTGGAACTTAAGGGATCTCAAGTTCAGCTTCATCCATGCGTGAAGAAAACAAAATGACTGTAGATTTCTGAAAAGGAGTGTACTGATATACTGGTTTTTTATTTACCTTCCTGTTGTGGGTGGGCTACCTGCTTTATGCATCAACAACATAGTGACAACACAGCAAAAAGGTGAAAATGCTGTAATCCACTGCGGTTTTGTTATATTAAGAACAGTGGCATTCCTAGGGCTCTCTCTCTCTCTTGCTCAGCTGACTGATTCAGGCCAAGTGAGTGCTTCTTTGGAAATATTTGCCTTTTGGAATCATTTGCTGTTGATTTGGGCCACAACTGCACTGTGTATCTTACGACGTCCATGAAGCAAGTGTCCAATTGCTGATATGGTGATACCAAATCTTTTTAGGTCTGGCTGACTGCTTTTGTTGACACAGTAATATGGGATAGCTAGAATCTACAAAAAAAAGAGGTTAGGCCAGTTTCTTCATGTCTCTGGGCATGTCACTGTTATCTGCAGGCTAACAGAGGGGGGAAAGAGAGAGACTGGTAAGTGCCATTTTAGGGGTGCTCCAGCCAATAAACAAAAGCATTTTATTTTTAACCCCGTGTTGCATTCTGAGGTAGAATCGTGAGTCTGAGATATTATGGCATCTAATAGCTTTCAGATGGGCAAGTTGTTCTTGGAATTCCATCAATATTTATTTAACTTGAGTCTGCTTCTAAGACAGGATTTGCGGATAAATATGTATCGTTCAGAAACATGCTCGCCTTCTGTCTGAAACAAAAATTCTCTCACTAAGAAGTGTTAATATGCATCTGGCCTTAAGCCTACAGTAATTAATGGGGCTCTGAAAGACTTGAATGCAGGACCCTGTAGTTTATTTCTTAACAAATGCTCATTTATTCTGAGATCTTATTATCTTGTGTGGTTGCACATTTACCTCATATGACCTCTTAATGCAAAATGTGTTTTTTATTTATATATTTTTTTTAATTCCTCCCTCAGATCATAACAGGGGAGTTCTACCGGATTCACTACTTAAAGGAGAAGTCTCGGTCCTTCATCCAGAACCCATATGTGGCGGCTCTCTACAAACAAGTGGGCTGTTTTGCCTTTGGCTGTGCCATCAGCCAGTCCTTCACAGACATTGCCAAAGTGTCCGTCGGACGCTTGCGACCTCATTTCCTGGACGTTTGTAATCCAGACTTTTCAGTAATCGACTGCTCTAAAGGCTACATTCAAAACTACACCTGTAGGGGAAATGACAGCAGAGTCCAGGAAGCCAGGTGAGAGGCATTTCCTTGACAATATAGGAGGGAAAACTGTTGTTTCTGCCAAAATGGTGTCCCACAAAATACTCCTCAGGTCCCTTCTGCCAGCAATGGATCATTTGAAAACTTCCTTCTCTGGAAAGACTGTCATGGAGCTACTACTATTGACTGGCAATTTCCCTAAGGAGTTATTGAACTCTGCTGAATAATTCCTCTCCTTCCTTCTATTAACTCCCACACCATTGTTTTATGAATGCTTGCTCAATGTGGGAATTTACCATAAGAGCTGACATCACAGTTAAGTGGTTTTGATCTACACGGCAAAGCAGCCCTTCCTTTGTGTAAAGACAGCAAACAGTGCCAGGAACTCTTTTTCAAAGTCTTTTTTGTGTCGTGTTCATTGGATATTTAATTTTGATTTTGGGGGCGGAGGGGGTGTGTGAACTTTACAAGTTATACTTAATGTACCTGGATTGGTGTTTACCTTTATTTCTCTAGAAATTCCCAGATATTTGGGGCTAGTTTGTAAGTTATCAGTCTGCTGAGTATATAACAGTTCATAGCCGTGCTGCCCCAAAAGCAGTCCAGGAAGGGAACTGCAATCCCATGATTCTCCACCTATTGATGCATAGAGGAAATAATTTGCTACTGGTCTTCTTGTCATGTCGCCATGCTCAGCTGCATTGGCTGGAGTGTCAGGATGGGGGTGGAGCCAATGCTCAATACATATCCTGCTCACCCACTCACTCTCTACCCTGCTGGGTATGGGGGGAGCAGCAGCCCCAGAGAAGTTGCTTCCCCATCCACGATGCCAGGTAGCCCATACTGAAAAAATAAGGGTGTACCTTACATCTCTTAATTCCCCTGTTGTAAGATTATTCATAGGCAGGTTCAATCTAATATTTCAATGGCTGGTTCAGACATGTTCTCTGTTTTACAGGAAATCCTTCTTCTCTGGTCACGCCTCCTTCTCGCTCTATACCATGCTTTATTTGGTGGTGAGTACCCTTAATTTTTTGAGAGCCAAACCTGTTTCCACACCGCAGCATCCCCACATGGGACGCTCACCCCCACTTGTAGCAATTTGGCAGCTGATTACATTGCTCTGACTACATCAGAAGACTGCAGGGACTGAATAAACAACTGCCATTAAAAACTCAAAAATACTTGAACTTTTTAGCATTGTTTGGTCTTGTGATTCCTGAAATTTCTGTCCGGTTACACAGACCTTGGCTGCACCAGCACTGTTACCAAGACTCCAGATCAATCCTGCATTCCTTGCTCAAACTCTCACTGAAGTCAACAAGAGTTTGGTGTGAGCCAAACAAGGAAGCTGCATCGCCTAAGATCAATTCACCGGGGCTTTATTTAGGGTTATATTAGGCAGCTTGCACTGGTCTCTGCCCTTGATGAATATATAAGCCTAACTGGCTGCCCCTATAGGTTAAAGTCTGGTTTCCATGTCACATTTGGGGTCAAATCTGAAAGCAAAGCAGGTGAACTGGCCTCCCCCTCACAGCCTGATCCAAAACTGTGGGCTGGTCTGTTTTTCTTTGTCAATGAAAAATGGTTCTGCCCTTCCTCTACTCTGCCCTTGAATAGAGCAGTGTGCCAAGGTGCTTCCTGCCTGTAGCTGCTGGAGGCATGCTTGATAGCACTCATGAAACAACCCAGCACAGGTCAATTATGGGTGGAACTACAGTACACTTTTTTGGAAAGGGGATTTGGACAGTGATTTGTGCAAAAAATAATTAGGAAAAAGGTTTTTGGATACTTTCAAAGATTTGCAGCCCCCATATCTCCTGTAACCTTAGATTGGAAACTGAAGAAACAGCCCTGTACTTACGAAAACATTAAACATGAACTTTTATTTATCCACGAGCTGCACTTCCCCACCTCCTCTTTACTTTGCCATCTGAAAAGATAAATTACCACGGCTCTCTCCTGGTTTTTTACTCCCCTCCCTGAGGCTGGAAGCAGTTTCTGTAATTTAATTACTGGGGTTTTAGACAGTTGGGGGGAGGGGTTCCATTCATTGATTTCCTCATTTTCTTTTTTCTTTTCTTGAAACATTTCAAATTTATTCTGGAAACATTCACGCCATTTCCTCTCAGCGACGTTAAAACAACGTTGTCAGTGAACGGCTGGGGATATGTGATGTGAAAGGAATTGGACATTTCCCACCCCACCCTACCCTCCAAACAAAATTGGGTTGAATGTTGTGTTTGTGTGTGTAAAAGAAAGAGAGACCTGGGGTTGTGGCAACAGTTCTGCACTACAGGTTTCTGAATGACTGTTTTGTTTTACCCATCAACAAAAATCACTACTTCAGTTTTCCATGAAACAGTAACTCCCCCCCGACCCCAGCACGCTGTCAGCGAGTGATCTCTATTTATATACCCTTAAGTGCAGCAGCTTTAATTAAAGTTAACAGGTTAAAAGTTCCTTTGCCGTGTCAGGAGGGGAGGGGAATCATTCATAGTGCCAAAGCCAACGCAGTGATGTTTCACAGAAATCTAAGCCCTTAATGGCTGATTTGCAAAACTTTCCAAACTGAGCTTGGAGCCATTGCTCGCCATGAGTATTAAATAAGGTTCTGGGGGCAGTCAAGTAGGTCATCACTAAGAGGCTTTCAGGCTCGGCTTCAGGAAGCAATGAGGACTGGCGGCTTTAATTAAACAGGTGGCTGGGTCTGTCAGAACAATAAGCGAGACTGGTGCTGTCTTTCTGTGTTTGATCCCGTTGTTTGCTAGATTCTGCCACCACCCTTTCAAGGCCTCTGCTGATCCTGATACCACAAAGGAGTGGCTCGCACTCTTAAATCATAAGGACTCTGTTCTGCTGCTTCCTTTCTTAAAATACATGGGGACAAATCTTGAAGTGCTGACTCAGGCAAATCCCCTCCACCCCCTTCCCGAGATGTGCCTGGTGTCTTCAACAACAGTAAGGGATGCAGGTCAGCATCTCTCAGGATTTTTGCCCAACTGGCTTCAATGGAAGTTGACTAAAGACCTCTGAGTTTCTCTCTCCTATGTTAAAAGCACTGGGCGGGTTGTTTTATTCTCACAAACTTTGCCAGGTTTTTTCTGCAAGGCTAGCAGTTACACAGCATGTTAGAAACAAAACGGCACACTGGCAGTTCAGATATGCAGGATGGGCCTGACCATATAAATGCTCCATGCACTTGGTTCCCTGCAGAGGCCAGAGCCAGGCAGGCCTGGAGATGGTATCTTGCACGAGATGCTGCCACGGGACATTAGGAACAATGCTTTTTTTTTTTCACCTCTTTGCCCCAGTGCCTGCCATATATTTTTCTCTGAGCTCCACAGTAGGTTACCATGTGGTTTTTAACGGCTGCCCTGTATTTGGGGTAGCGCACAGCTGAATAGTCACGGCCCATGAGCCTTCTGCTAGGCTCCTCCAGAGGGGAAGCATGCTCATCTGAATCCACTGAGAAGTGCATTGTCGGACAGGGCCTCGGTTGCAGCTGTTAGCAGGCAGCAGTGATATATCAGAGAGAGAGAGAGAGATTGTGGCCATGGCACACACCAACAGTAATCAAGCTCTGATTTCTCTTCCCTGTCCCTGCCCTTCCCATCATCCTCATATGGAAGCACTTCAGCTATCAGCGCTCTGCAGCGTCTGCCTCTCTCCCCCAACCCACTAGAGACTGAAAACAAAACATCGTGGAAACCGGCTTTTGACCGGTACAGCCTATGTCCTCCAAGACTGCAGTCTGGAAGGCACCGACCTCTGCTCCTTAGCTGGGATATAACAAACTGACCCGTGACACTGGATTGGTTCCATTTATCCCTCTGGATGGAGGATTACTGGCCCAGAATTCCCAGAGGTTTTAAGGCTCGAAAGACTGAGCTAGGATTGGTAGTATGCACAGTCAGGCTATCTGTTCAATTGTGCTCATAGAGCTGGGGCAAAAATTACGCTAATGGGTTTGATGGAAATTGGAGGGGGAGAAAAAAGAAACAAACAGAGACATAGTTGTGTATAGTCTATGTCTGATGTCAGGAAGTCTCCTTGTCCAGTAGTGGCCTCCGCTTTGTCATTCCACTCCTTCCTGCCACTCCGTGCGAGAGTCTTCTCCTTTGTGTTTTCTGACACCAAAAACATAATGAAAATGTACTGCCCCGGCACAAAATCCATTGTACTGAAAGCTGATAATGATATTGTATTAGCAGGTGTTAAAAAACCCTCTCTCCTTCCCAGTTGATTGGGTGAGAGAAGCTTCGTCAGACTGGTTTGAAACACAGATAAATCACGGCAAAGCACTATTTTTGCATGCTTCTAACAGTAAGTTTGATGGACCCAATCAAGGAATCATCTTGATATAAACAAATTGTTTGCTCTCTGATTCCTGAGAAGCTGCTTAGCGAAAGTTGGACTGTTGAGGGCTTGTGTGATGGAGGGCTTGGCAGGGGCCTGTGGAACAGGGAACTGGCTGCATTTTTTCAGGCATCTCCTGCAGATTGGGGGTCATTAGTCACCAGGTCCTTTTTTAAAGACATGCTTGGACAGATTTATGGGGGCTTAGTGAACAATGCAGAACACTCATTCAGCCGTGAATCTCACCCTCAGCAAGTATCTCATTCTTAAATGATCAGCCCCAAGGAACCATTGAGGTGTTGTGTTTATGAGTGGGTGGGTATCTAAAATAATTCACTGATGTGCAAAATCCTCAATAAAAATATCGTTCATGCAAACCTTCCTTTTCAACAGGTCTGTGCCATTCATTGGCCAGCTCTTTGGCCATCAGAGCCTAGATGCAGACCTCAAACTCACTAGGAAATATGTACTTGTGTGGGGAAACACTACCAAAAACTGTCAGACAGCTTTAGAAAATGTGCACATTTTGTGGTGTCCAACTATGGGGTGGATTTAGCATTCCTGCAGGGTGCCTGACCGATAGCCCCAGCCTGTCATTTATCCACAGAAATGATCCAGAGTAGAAATAGCAGTGCAAGATTCCCCCACAGTGCCCAACCCATGTGCTCCAACTTTGACCTGGAGAGTTTAGCCCTGGGGATGAGAAGATGGGACGGTCCTTGGCTTCCCTGGTGATGCTGTCAACTAGTGTAAATTGTAGTGGGTCCCCCCCCACACACTTTTTTTCCCCCCCGGTGAGAACATTTATCCACCAGGAACTGGACTGATAAAATATCCAAACGAGGCCAAGAGTTTTGTTATTATTTGCCCCCATTAGTGAAATAGGAATAAATACTAAGTACCAGAGGGGATTCTATATTCCAAATCCTTGTGGAAGTGTTTCCAGGAAGACATTTAATACACACAAAAAGCGCTTGGGGCTCAATTTGAAACACAGATTCAGGGCTACATTTTGTGTCATTTTCTTGTCATCAGAGACTTGCAATTAACGTCACGTGCTTTATATAACAATTTACAAAAGGAAATGACTCTCTGGTAATCCTGTTTGTACTAATTTTTCTTGCCCTGTTACCAGTTGGCTAAGTAGAACCATAACGCTTATTGTAATTTTTATAGTGCGATGGGTGAAGAGGAGCTATACAATTTGGTTTGGAAATGGCCGAGAAAGTTTGAATGTATTTGTGTGCACACTAAGGGAGTGTCTTTACTAGGGGGGAAAATAGAGGTGTTCTTCACTCAAGATAAAACCCTACTGAAGACAAAGTGGTTTGTAGTTTTCAAGGGAGTTAGCAGGTCAAGTTAAAGCCTCCAGGGAAGCTGGGGGTTTATCTCAACCTGCTAACATGAAAACTACAAACTGCCTGAACTCCAATAGGATTTACTTCCTGGTAGTTAACTTGAGTTAAGAACACACCTTTTTTTCTCCCCCGAGTGAAGACAAGGAGGAAGGTCAGATAAGGCCCATAAGGATGTTGAACTATGAGGATGCAGATGGCCTGTACAATAGGATTTTTCAGCCCATGTGGATCATATTGCTAAGCACAGTGGGGAAGAAGGGGGAAGCCGGTGGATTCTAGGGTGGTCATTAACCTGAAGT